CAGCCTACACTGGGTAGCGAACGGCTTCTCCTCAAGCCGCTGACTGACTGACTGACTGACTTTCTACCCCACCAGGACATCACACAAGCGATAAACACCCGATGACACAAAGTGTTACCATGCGGATGAGGATCGCCGTGGAGAGGTCCCAGAAACCGCGTTCAGACATTTGGCCATATGTATGGCCTGCCTATATTGCGGCCCCCGGCAAAAGCCAGAGTAGGGCATCAAATAACAAAAAATTTCGTCCTAAAAAGGACGAAAATGGATTATCCTCAGCCCGCTTACCGGCTGAAGTGGTTGGTGGTTTATGATAATTATGATCAATTTGCCATTTAGAATGTTACTTTTACGGCTGTCTTTATTATGTTTATTATTTTTTTCCCCACTTCAACAAGGTCTAGCCCCCCCCCCCCCCCCCCCCCCCCAAGTGGTGGCTTGTGTCCTGGCCGAGATTTGATCATCTCAGGATGGTTAAACATTCAGGTAACAGCCCCAAAAATAACAAGTGGTAGGGTGGTGTACAGGTTAGTTCATTATTATGTTGCAGGGGAAGTAATACAAATAATGTTACCAGACGTTGCAGAACCAATCCCAACACTTTCTGGCTGTTGTGGTTTTTCTAGGCAAATCTACGCCCAGTAGTTAATACAAATAATTGACGCGAAACATCCGCCTAAGCAGATAGATTGCTGGCTGTTTAATCACAAGAGTAGGGTAAATACATAAAGATTCATCAGTATAATCAGTTTCCATTTCTGACGTTAAACCTTGTGGGGAGGAACAGTGTGCGATCCGTTGCTTGATGTGCAGCAATGGCTACGGTCATTCCGTGTCAATGTAAAAGTTCTTTAATGTCATCAGTCCATCTTCTCCTAGGACGGCCTCTTTATTTCACTGCAGGTCCTTTCATATGTAGCGACTGCACTGGTAGTTGCTCTGCATGCATTCTTACTAGATGACTGAACCATTTGATCTTATTTTCCTAATGAATTTGCTGCATAGTGTTGTTCCTACATTATGTCTCGTAATACCATTTCTAACTTTGTCTGGTTAAGTTGGCGACATTTCTCAGCCACCTCCTTTCACAAGAGGTTGTTGAATGTACCGTCTGCCAGATTCTTTACAATTAAACAGATTAATTGATTGTATAATCACAGCTTAACGAGAGTGTGCCTGTTCAATCGTCAAAAGATGATCGTATCGCTTTGAGTAAGATAGTAAAGGAGAAAAGAAACAAAAGGCCCCCTGATAGTGTCTATCATCGTTAGACGTAGCCGTGTATGAACAGACGGCTATCCAGGCAAGGACGCTGCCATAGATATCTAGGCTTCAAGTTCTGTTTCGTGACGAAATGGGCTTTTACGAAAGTAGTGTGTTGGTCCCAGGCTTCATTCGTCAACCTTGAGTACCTGTATGTCTCTTTATCTACCTGCCCAGCTTAGGAAACCATGCGGGCATCCCCGTCGACATCTTCGCTAGGATATACCCATCTACCTAGATACATCAACTTCTGTACAATACAGATAACGGTATTGACTTTTAAAGTACATTAACTAGGATTTTTTTTTTAACGTGAACTTGGACTTCTAGTAATTCCCCCTGATATCTGGGTAGTGAGATCGGACGCCCGTGTGCATTGGTGCGCACGCAAAAAATCCCTTGGCAGTTGGAAATGGAAATTAGTAGCCTAACGGAGCTGTCCGGGCAAAATGTGGAGTTCAAAATCTACCCAAAGTATTTCAGGATCCTCGCTGGTGCTGCAGTGCCTGTGCACTGTGCTGAGCTTCTTCAGACGCGGACTTAAGTTACTGTTACTTCACTCTTCTCATTATTCAAACTAGACCTCATTCTCTCCCGTAGCGCCCGTTAAACACACATAAGATATAAACATTTAGAATTTTAGCCACTTTTATCACAAGTAAACAGAAACAAAAAATGAATTTTATTATAACAAGGAGAAGGTATTGAAAACAAGATTTGGTCACGAGAGAAGATTATTTTCACCACTTGTTTACGGCGAAAATACTGAGAGAAATATTTTCACACACAGAGGGGGGAACAGACAACGGACAGATCGACACATAGATAGACACAGAAAGACATATGAAATGAGAGAAGATGAATAAAGACGGAAAGAGAGAGACAATTATTCATTCAAATGTTTATCATTAAATACTCTTTGTTGAACACAAACATTTTCAATAAGCTATCAATACTACGCTGCGTTATCACTCTCTGTGTCTCCGTTTCTTCAGACATTGGCTGTGCCGAAAAAAAAGAACAGTTTATGAAGAAAGTGCAATATTTGTACCTTTCACTGGAGACAGTGTAGTTACTTATTTCATTACTTTGATGGCAATGGTTAAAATTTCCGTTTTCAGTGAATAAAGAATAGCAATTAGTCATTTTATTTTATCCTAAGGGCAATAACTGGTAATGTACCCATAGTCATTTGAAATCAATGGGTGGTATCCCTTGAATCCATATGGTAATTTTTTTACAATATGCGATACCGCCTCATCCTGCGGGTTGCGACTCTTTGTTGGGGTTGAACGACCCTTTCACGGGGGTCACTGAGACCATTGGAAAACACATATTCATTGAAGCTATGAAGTAGTAACAAAAATAATTGTATGTTTGAGGGGTTGCCACAACATGAGGAACTGTATTTAAAAGGTCGCGGCATTGGGAAGGCAGAGAACAGCTGACATAGATGTATTTATCTAAGGCTTCTCCCTCCCCCATCCCACACGGGGTGATATGCAGTACCGACACCTTTATTGTTTTCACCTCCAGGACTACAGTCTGTAAAATTAACATCTTAAGTTTTAAAAATCACAGAGGTACAAATCAGGGAGACCCAGCTCAACCGTATGCATGTATGTTGTAACCCATTAGGACATCGCACTAGCGATTAACACCCGGTGACACAAAGTGCCACCATGCGACGATAAAATATTCCTCACGTCCTTTTTAGGACGTAATTTTTTGTTATTTGAAGCCCTACTCTGGCTTTTGCCAGGGGCCGCAATATAGGCAGGTCATCAAAATGGCCAATTGTCTGAACGCGGTTTCTGGGACCTCTCCACGGTGATCCTCATCCACATGGTGGCACATTGTGCCATCGGGTGTTTATCGCTTGTGTGATGTCCTAGTGGGGTAGAAAGTCAGTCAGTCAGTCAGCCACCATGTGATAACACCTATATGCATAATCGAGTTTTGTCCTTTTTAGGACACAATTTTTTGTTATTTAAAGCCCCACCCTGGCTTTTTCCAGGGGCCGCAAAATACGCAGGCCATAAATATGGCCAATTGTCTGAACGCTGTTTCTGGGACCTCTCCACAGCGATCCTCATCCACATGGTGGCACTTTGTGTCATCGGGTGTTTATCGCTTGTGTGATGTTCTGGTGGTAGAAAGTCAGTCAGTCAGTCAGCCACCATGCGATAACACCTATATGCATAATCCAGTTTTGTCCTTCTTAGGACAACATTTTTTGTTATTTGAAGCCCCACCCTGGCTTTTGCCAGGGGCCGCAACATAGGCAGGACATAAATATGGCCAATTGTCTGAACGCTGTTTCTGGGACCTCTCCACGGCGATCCTCATCCACATGGTTGCACTTTGTGTCATCGGGTGTTTATCGCTTGTGTGATGTTCTGGTGGTAGAAAGTCAGTCAGTCAGTCAGCCACCATGCGATGAGGATCATCCGTGGAGAGGTCCCGGAAACCCCGTTCAGACTTTACTCCAAATTTCAGGCCCGGCTAAAATCAGACCCCCCCCCCCCCCCCACCCCTCTAATGCCGAGATGAAGCTACCAAATAACTAAAAATTGCATCCCACAAGATAATGGGATGAAGAGAAAGTCAAAATGCTCCAGACATAGTAGCTCAACCGTACAGTCATATTTTTATTCTTAAAAGTCCAAGCCGTCTGGCTTTGGTAGTCATTTTTATAGACAACGTTTTGTCTCTTGTACTTTCAGTCAACTATGACACCGTTGATCCTGCATGCCATGATCTCAAACAGTCCAGTCCTAACAATTGTGACAAGGCACGCTTTGCCTAGCACAGTTCAAGCTGCTCACAACTTTAACGTTTTGAACAACAGATCAACTTCAAGGCACAAGGGTAGTAACCCATAAGTGTGCCGTTTTTCTGCTAACGCAAGTCTGAGTCCGACGGAGCTCAGCACAATGCACAGGCTCTGTAGTTTGGGGAACTGTATTTAAGGGTCGCAGCATTAAAAAGGTTGAGAGCCACTTGTCGAACATTATGTAACCCTGTCACTGTCTATTTTTTTGTTTTGTTTTTTTTTGTTGTTGTTGTTGTTGTTGACGATAATGATTATGGTGATTATAATAATAACGATCATTGAGATTGTGATGAGGATGTTGACCGATGGGGATGAAATCTATAATCCTGATGATTGCCATTGTATAGATTTCCTGGCTATATTCCGAATAACAACCCCCAAATTATCGAGGTCGAAAATATACCCTAACAGGGCCTCAGTCACGTGTCAATGCGGACTTCCGTCACCGCCGATTGTATATCCCACGCCTCTACGCGCGGCGTGGATTGGGGCAAAACTAGGTGCGGTGTGGATTGGGGCTAAACTAGATGGCTGGGACTCACGAGCAAATAAAATGAAGGAAGCTGCCGGAGATGCGGTAACTGCTTCTCGTGAGTCCAAGCCAATCCGCGCGTAGCGGCGTGGGAGATAATCGGCGGTGGCGGTAGTCACCGGAAGTTCGCATTGACACGTGACTGAGGCCCTGTTAGGGTATATTTTCGGCCTCGATAATTTGGGACAGTTATTCGGAAGATAGCCGATTTTCTACTACTGGCATAAATGGATGCATGATCAAATGTGTAAGATAAACGAGATCGGAAGCCATTACGCATGCATATTTAAAATCAAACCCAGAGTTATAAACTGTGCGATATAAATTAAGGCTGTCGTGGTTTCTGCAGAGTTGCCATGTTGGCCAGCTTCACCGAATGTTAGCCACGTCTGTCATACACTGAATTGTTTCTGTCCAACCCCATCCGGGCTTGAAATCTGTCCACTTGAACTCTGACCCGGAAACTTTCTTGAGTAGTTTTCTAGTTTCGTTGATGTAGGCACATGTGGATTTTGGAACCTGTGGAGGATGAGGATGTTTAAAACAACAGTTAAAAAAGTAATTAAGAGTCAATTGTGCATCTGACCTGTTATGTTAGACCCATATTGTAAAGACAAATGGGCACTTCATGGGTGATATAGTCAACAGAACACCGGCCACCTTTACCTCGTAACCATTTCAGTGTGATGCTGACCACATTAACCAGGAAGTGTCGATAGATCTAAACAAATAGAAACAGCCACTCCATCGACAGAGATCGCAAGTCTCATGAAAACCGCTTTATATACACTTTGGGAACTCTGGCGCCCAGTGGACTTAACAGCCAACACAGCTTCATATAAATCCTAGGGCCCTGTCTACACAATTTCAACTTATCCTCGAGTGACGGCCCTTGGCATAAACCACGGATATTTTTTCTAGGCCCCACGTGCCTCACCAGACTATTATCTTGACATCGACCTGGCTGCCAAAAGATACGAAGATAAATGAAATTGTGTATTTGTAAAGTATTGTCTATTATATGTATGTGCTGAAGAAGGCTCAGAAGCCGCAACGTTCACGTTTTGTTCGTGTTTTTTATAGGGTGAAGCTCGCTGATATACTTTTCGTTAGGTTTTATATCTTTCCCTGATATACAAACATGAGTGTAGCAGCATATTCCCCGTCTTTACCCACCCCCTCCCCCCCCCCCCCACAGGACTGCAGGTTACGCCTGGCTGGAGTAACCGTAAAGCGAGTCCTAATTATAATCATAATCAATAAATCGATTATACGCCTGATGCACAACTGGTGTGGTGAAACATAGTTTAATTTGTTTCTTCTATCTTGGAGACGCTCACATGCGGATCCAATGGTCTAGGTTCAAGACCTGACAGAACCCATTTTTGTTTTGTTTTTAAATTCCCCAAGCTCCCAGCTCGACCCAGACTTAAACGGAAACCATGTAAAGTCATAGAAGTAAAGCGTGATGTTGGCCACATTACTCATCGCGCGCCGATGGGTCTATATTAGTCTAGCCCTATATGCCTAATACACCTGAAGGCTTGGAAAATGTATCTTTATTTAAATATTTACTTCTTACTTTACTTATTACTATTCCAAAACTAAGAGACGCGCTCCCTCTTCGAAACGAACCATTCTGTCCATTCTGTCTATTTATCCACGTAGATTTCTGGGGAGGTATGACTCGTGACAATGTTATTCTGTTGCTATTTTGAAACACAATGACTGCAAACATGCGAAGAAATTGTTGAGAGGAAATGGGAGCTGGTGATGGGGAAGAGGGGGGGGGGGTGGGGGTGATGAGTGTAGGTTGGTAGTGGTAAACATAGTTTTCAACCCCTCTCAAGTTTTCATCTAAAATAATGGAACAATGTATGCAGAGGAGTAATACGAGAAAGGCAGAATCTCAAACTGACCTGCGTTCCCACCCATTTTAAATTAAAATTCATTCTTTTCGTGTGTGGATCTATTTTTGTTCCTTTCCTCATCATCCTGATGTACTGAAAAGCAAATTGTAAATGGCTACTAATTGAGATGGGGAGGAGGGGGGGGGGGGGCGAGGTGCAGTTTAGCGACTGCACACGTCTTTTGAAAACCGCCTTATTTAGCTTTCAATTCTGTTTCCCCTAACATCTTTGAGTCACGGGCCTTGGCTTTCTCTGACTATTTGTTCCTGGTGGTCACACATGTCTTTCATTTCACTGGCCGGACAACAACGTGACTGCCATCGATAATATAACAGCATACGTCAGCTAAGTGGTTTTGTGTGTTCCTGTTTGTACATGCGGTTTTGTTCATTTATGTAATGAACTGATGAAGGATCTCTAGACTTAACGTTTACTTTCTATTTGTGTTGATTATATTGTGAAGCTCGTCTACTTTGAGATAGTCTAATGACATTTACAGTTTTCAGGGTTGAGACATTTATTTAGGAAGCGGAGAATGTTCAAGTTACCTAAATTTCTCGATTTAGGCCCCCATTGGGAGAGGGGGGAGGGAGATATTCTAAAAGACACAAGATGCACAAAAGGTGAAGTGAGCCATTAAACTACATGGTAGACGTAGGTGCAGGTTGGACAGAGATGGTGACAATGATTTCTGAGTCCCCATACTGGAGCGATTCTCAACCCCTTTTCAGCGGGGACACCATCTTATATAAGCAAAGTGACCTGTCACCCTACACTTTATAAAAAGACTTTTTAATATCGAAAATGTTGAAATAGACTTTTCTGTCTGTAGGATGTGGTGAGGTGATTTTTGTTGTTCTTTTTAATCGTTTTAAAATATTCATAACTCACCAATGACCGGCAACCCCCACAGAACACCGCTTATTATATCTTTCTATGGATTGGGAACTCCTGCAATGTTTTTGGCAACTATGAAAGAATAATTTAACTCTTTAACTTCCATGTTTACCGTTAAAAATTCTAGCTTATCACTAATCGCTGACCAAATAGAAAGTTTATGTTTTGCGGCCCATCTACACCCTTTCACAGTCTGATCTAGGTCAGAGGGTTGTCACGTTGTACTGTTTTCTTCGAAAAGAGTCTCTCGTGGGACCTAGGCCCAGGCTGTGGGTAGCGGTTTGGGTTAGGGCCAGTTCCAGGTGTTTTGCTGTCTTAAAAAGCTGTGTCGCCGTAGAGTATAGAACGCACAACATCGGCGCTGATGTAATTCAAGACAAGACAACGTGACACCCCTCTAACGTAGAACAGTCTACGAAAGTATGAATGGAAGGTCTGCCAGTGTGTAGATGGAAAACGTTGAATCAACCCAGAAAGCATTTCGAGATACAATTTTTCTTTTCGCGACGCATGCGTTGACAACTCTACTGTAATGCAAATTTGTTGCCATCCATGCCAGATACATTTAACCCTTGCTATTGCATAACGTGGCGTTGCATAATTTCCCGTTTGCAATAGAAAGTCCATAAGGGAGATCCAGAATAGTATCGCTGTAAAAAATCAGGCATGTTAAAGATTGCATGTTAAAGATTGCTAACATCAGAGACGCATATCTCTTTCTCTCTCTCTCTCTCTCTCTCTCTCTCTCTCTCTCTCTCTCTCTCTCTCTCTCTCTGTGTGTGTGTGTGTGTGTGTTTTTGTGTTTGTGAGAGTATGAGAAAAACCGTTACGTGATTATTCCACTGCTGAAATAAGTCAGTCACATGACTATAAAACTGCTGCAATTAAACAGTCACATTTGGAATAGAACCATAGTTGGAATAAGACGTGACTATTGCATGGATGGAGTAAGACGTGACTATTGCATGGATGGAATAAGACGTGACTATTGCATGGATGGAATAAGACGTGACTATTGCATGGATGGAATAAGACGTGACTATTGCATGGATGGAATAAGACGTGACTATTGCATGGATGGAATAAGACGTGACTATTGCATGGATGGAATAAGACGTGACTATTGCATGGATGGAATAAGACGTGACTATTGCATGGATGGAATAAGACGTGACTATTACATGGATGGAATAAGACGTGACTGTTGCATGGATGGAATAAGACGGTCACATGGCTATTTCAAAGATAATAGCAGACAGTCAAATTATTATTGCACACTTGAATGAAGAATATCACATCATTATTGCACACTTGAATGAAGAATATCACATCATTATTGCACACTTGAATGTAGAATATCACATTATTATTGCACACTTGAATGAAGAATATCACATCATTATTGCACACTTGAATGAAGAATATCACATCATTATTGCACACTTGAATGTAGAATATCACATCATTATTGCACACTTGAATGAAGAATATCACACCATTATTGCACACTTGAATGAAAAATATCACATCATTATTGCACACTTGAATGTAGAATAACACATCATTATTGCACACTTGAATGAAGAATATCACATCATTATTGCACACTTGAATGAAGAATTTCACATCATTATTGCACACTTGAACGCAAAAAGTCTCGTCTTTGTTGCAAACTTAAATGCAGAAAGTCACATCATTATTGCAGATTTGAATGCAGAAAGTAACATCATTATTGCACAGACCAATGCATATAGTCACATCATTATTGCACAGACCAATGCATATAGTCACATCATTATTGCACAGACCAATGCATATAATCACATCATTATTGCACAGACCAATGCATATAGTCACATCATTATTGCACAGACCAATGCATATAGTCACATCATTATTGCACAGACCAATGCATATAGTCACATCATTATTGCACAGTTAAAAGCAAATGTACAAATGAAATAAGATAGTCTAATGACTTTTGCACAATTAAAACAAGACAGTCACGTGACTATTGCACACTCAAAACAAGACAGGCACATGCCTATTGTACATTAGTTAGTAAGTTAGTTAGGTAGTTAGTTAGTTGGGTTATCATCATTGCACTCCGGACTTGTCCAAAGGTGCTCAGATCCTCCCCTCAGTATGAACCCCAACGTCCGATGGCTAATAGTACTATTTCTATGTTGATTAACAAGTCTTCTGGAGTGTCTGGTGTGCGTCTCGTTTTTTGCTATGCCGATCTGAATTCCCAAGTCTGCCATTCTGGCGGGTGATATGTATTCATTGCCACCAAAGTCCTCTATCCTTCCCATTTCTCTGAGGGCATTATTAATATCAGCATGATCGATAGGCTGACCGTCGGTAGTGATAGCGGATCCAGCCAACCTATCAGCTCTTTCTATTATGACTATATGTATAGTGACTTGTAAATTTGGACAATAGCAACTATACCTAATGACATTTAATGCGAGAGACGAAGCGCCAACAAATATGCCCAGTGTGGGGTTTATGAGACGAACTGAATGCTGTTAAAGAAAGTACAAAGTTGCATGCGTCTAGAAAGTTGATTTAAGTGTCATTATCATCAAGTTTCCTTGCTAACAGGCGAGGGCGATCATGCCTTTCCACAGCCTGCGATCTTCAACAGCATTTACAAATTCACATGCTGATTCCTCTCCATCTGTGACAAAGAGCTGTCAAGATTCTTTTCGCATTATTTTCCTGTGTCCAACTGTTCACAGATTTTCAATGTATTTCCCCAGCAAGATCAGTTTCTTTCTCACCACACCATGACCAAAAGCAGATGACTATCTCTTTATGTTGTTTGTGATAGTTATATTCTGGCCATTTCCTCTTTCAAAACATATGATACATCTTGTGTTTAATTGTATACTTTTAGCTGGTCCGTTCGGTGTCGGAACGGTTAAGAAAGCTGGGCTCAGACACGGAAGACCCAAATTCGAATGTTTGGCAATTTCGTTGATTGTTTGTTTCTTTCGGGGGCATACATAAATTATAACCTACACAGTCCGTTGCTACTGCACGAGCCATGTGGCCTTGAATCCTCTGGCTCAAAGAAACCCATATACATGTAATTAAAAAGGGCCATTTTGATTGATATAAAATTCGTTAAACAGCAGATCTATCATTTTATTATACAGAGAGCAGACAGAGAATCTATAAATTAGGGGACTAATTTAAAAAAAGTGCCTGGGGTGGGGAGGGGGGGGGGGTGTAGAGTTTCTGGAAGATATTTAGCACTGAGGTGAAAACATAGTCTGACTTTTCATCATGTTGCGTCTGGTGCTATTAACGTGCCGATTCGTAGGTGGCTACTGCAGAAGGGGCGGAGCACGTGAGGGAATTCCCGAGTGCAGTTATTTCAGTTCTGCATTCATTTTTTCAGTCAATTTACTTTACTAATAAGTACAGCAATCTATTTCATAATGTAATGATCCACTATCAAGGAAAAGTACGCGTCGCATTGCACATATGATGCTGGATCCATAACTGATAGCCCAATCGGCAGTCAAAAATTGATGTGATCAACATAACACCGGTCGTCTTTACTTCACAAAGCCGTTTTCTGACACCCATTCTAGTTTAAATCGACTTTATATCAAGTGTTAATTTGTTGTCCCCTCAAGTTCGTCTAGCGTAGATTGGAATCTAGAATCTTGTAGCATGTGTTCCTGCATGATTCTCATCCAAATTGTGTCTCCTTAGGTCATCGTGTGCTAATCCTCAGCATGCAGTCCTAGTTGGGTTTACCTTGACTTGTCTTTGCCAGTGCGCAGCTGCGAACTCCAGTCTTTGTATATAGGTTCTTTAAATTCAATTTGTCTTCACAAACTGATTGCTAACTTTTCCATTAAAAAAATCGCTCAGAAATTTATGTAGGATTACTGGCTACAGCTGCTGTCATTAACTGCAAGCTTTTTTTTTTCTGTCTAGCCATTGTGATGGAGTGTGTCCTTGATGACCTAGATAAACCGGGGGAGGGAAGCGTCACCAGCTGGATTCTCATCTCCTTCAGCGCTTAATATCAGTCAGCTACGGTCACCGCAATCAAGGTACCCTTTAATCAGAGGCGCCGGAAACTGCCTACATCTTCCCACAAATTATGTCTGGGGGTCCGTAGTTCTTAAGGGGGTGATCATGCCACCAACTTCTACAAAATATACAGCTGTGCTAGGTTGTTCCTTTGAGCATGTATAGACCTTATATTTTTAGCTATTTAATTATAAAGTTCATATTTTCAAATATGTTACTGTTGTTCTTTGTTTGTTGTTCGTCCATTACAGGCGATGATGACTGGTAACTAGATTAGGTTTTCTGGGTATGCAGATTACTGATAAGGCCAATTCTAGCACTGAAAGTTCTTGAGCAGTGTGGACAGGGAATTGAGGCCACTTTTCTCTGGGGATTTGCTTCAGTGTTCTACCTGCTTCATGGACCACAGCTTCTCGATGAAGAGATGAGCGCTAGGATGTGGGGTTACATGCAACGATTTCCCAGGGTAAAGGATCAATACAGAAATCGTTCAGTGAGGTCCCGAGGTTATCCTTGAAACGTTTTTTTTTCCGACCTTGAGAGCGTCTTCCTTTTTTTGTAGCTCACCATAGACAATTTTTTTGGCAGTCGGTGGTCAGACATGCAGTTTATACGATCTGCACAGGGAAGTTGTGATAGTTTTGGAATCGAGTGAGTACTGGGCAGTCCAGCTCTTTACTTTAGTTTCAGGGATTCCGCTTGCCATTTCAGCAACTTTCTGAGGCATTCTGTGTGGAAATGGTTCAGCTTCTTATCATGGTGCAGGTACACGGTCCATGTTTCACACGCATAGAGAAGTACAGGAAGTACAACAGCTTAGTACACTTTGAGCTTCGTTTACAGACTGATGCCAGTTCTATTCCAGACTTTTGTACAAAGTCTACCAAATGTTACTATTATACTATTATATGGTAGAACTACTTACACGTTGACATGTGGATACTGAAGAATGGGATGGGGTACGTGTGGGTCTGTCCCGAGTGCAGGGAGAAAAAAGGTCTCAGAATGTAATAATCCACTCTCTGGGAAAAGTGCGTGATGCATTAGGCATATGATTCCGGATCCATATTTCTAAGTGGCTTGAGAACCCACAGTAGCACAGCAGATAGACATATTGCCTGTCAGAGATGCGCTTAAATCAGCGGTTGGCGGACTATGGCCCACGGGCCAAGAATGGCCCGCAGAGCAGATGTTACTGGCCTGCGAGGATGGTGTAAAATTACTACAATATCTGGCCCTCGAGTTCACAAAATGGCATAACACAAAAGCATGTACAGAAACAACAAAATCGAAATATCAAGATTAAAAATCAAGACTGCTATACACTAATCAGTGATAACCAAACCAAACTGCACTAGTTGGGTGATGTGGCAAGCATCACGCCGACCGCCTTTACGTCCCATGACTTTTACCTGGTACCCATATAAGGCTGGGTCGAACTGGGAGCCAAAGTCATTTTTTTTAAAAAGCGGGCTCAGTCAGAAATTGAACCCACGACCTTGGGATCCGTAGGCGAGCGTCTAGTCGCTACATCATGGTGGCTCCCTTGAAGTACAAACAGCTGGTATGATATTGTCATCACCGGTTTCGGCTGTTTTATAAAAAAAATGTGCAGGTACCATGTACTTATTTTCTGTAAGGTCCTCTATAGAGTTTTGACAATACACTTCAAGGCGTGGGAGGAGAGAGAGAGAGAGCGAGAGAGAGAGAGAGAGAGAGAGAGAGAGAGAGAGAGAGAGAGAGATAGAGATGGAAGATCAGGAGAGACTCAAAAGAGAGAGAGAGACATAGACAGACACAAATTAACAGATACAGAGAGATAACAGGAGATATAAAGTGACCAGCACACACAGTGAGATACCGAAGACATCGAGAGATAGAGAAATGAAGAAGATAGGCAGAGACAAAAACTATAGAGAATGAGAGACGAAGAAATACAGAGATTGAGAAGCAGCGATAACGATAGAAACAGACAGACAATGATTGGGAGAAAATGCAGACTTACATAGGCTGCTTTGAATCCTAGTTTCTCAACATTAATAGATTTCAGCATCATGAGACACAACTGGGCGAACTCGTGGACTCCTGAAGTCTCCTGGCACCTCTGGTCCTCCTGTCCAACGCGCCCACCCCGAGTAGTAGCCATAGGCCAGTCGATGACCGTTGACCCTGAAACAGAGTAACGAAACTGTTCAACATATAAAGTAAGTAAATGACCATCTTCCACGCCTGCAGGCGTATGTCACATATAGAACTAGACCAGTATGTTATAGACCAATCAGCAGTTGTGAGAATCTGGTAATCTGGAAATCCTAGTTTCAGCTTCATAGCAAACGGGTCACCCCATAGTTGCCTCCGCTCCTGTGCCAACGAAAAACACACGTAGCTCACAGTGTCACACCATGCACTCAACTCAGAAGCTGGGCGACGAAACTATATGCTTCCAGTCTAAAAATGGAGCAAAAATGCGACGGCCACCGCCTGTTGTTGTGGGAGATGTGGTGAGCATCACACAGGCCGCCTTTACTTTCCATAACTTTTACCTTGTACTCATCTTAAGCTGGGTCGACCGGCGAGCCAAGGTCATGCATGAAAAAAAAATTTAATTCCAGCAACGTCCGGATTTGAACCCACGATCTTCGGATCCGCAGGTGGGTGTCTAGCCTCTACACCACGGCAGCTTGTGATCAATAGTGTAGCCTAGAGTAATTTGTTAATGTAATGAAGTGAGTCCTATACTATAGTGCATTTCAAAAGTCACGATCTCACATTTTAACCAAATATCTTGAAAACTCGCCTACGGATCAAATCGCATGTTGCATGTGGCCCTCATTTTCCCAGATACGTTTGATTTTATAATTTATATTTACTCAAGTGCTGTTGTCATTAAAAGAGGCAGATTTCTTTGATCTTCATTTGACGATTAGTTTTTGTACACGTCAACAATAGAATGTATAGTAATTGATACAGGCATGGAGAATTATGAAAATCATTTCACGTTGCAGCGTTTACTGGTTGTTATTTTAAAAACCTATCCCGCATAATGACAAACTGTGTCACATGAATCATGGGAGGCTAATGCTGGATTTGAATAATTGAGAGTGAAACGCATATAGGAAGTGTGCAGTTTGGTGTTTTGAAAACTTCCCCCTTACTCAAATAACTGCAAGAATGGTGACTGTTTGGGCTGAATGGGTGTCCGTTTTTTTTTTTTTTTTTTTTTTAATATACGGCAAAGGAACAAAAGGACAGGACAGTCCGACGTTTAAAATGGTTGTAAAACTGGGTTTCCCCGCTTTCTTATGCTTTTAACGACACCAAAACATCTAGAACTGGCCCTAACCCCAACTCACCTACGTCCCACGAGAGATTGCAGCCTAGGTCCTACGAACTTTTGCAGCCTATCTACCACCCCCTGAAATATTGGACTGTACCGTGACCTTGCTTATTTCCCCTGTTTGAGGTAGAATATTAATAAAGCACCCACATTTCAGACAAGGGTAATTATGAAAAGGTTGATGCCAAATTTCAACAACTAACATCCAACGGTTACCTAGTTACAAATCTTTTCAATTTGGCCAAGACTTCTGAAACGGACTTCAATAGAAATGTTCTAAAACCTATTATCTTTCCCATCCCCTTCCCCGATTATTACTCACTAGATCATACACAAAGGGAAAAACCCCACAAGTTCGATAATGCGATATCTCTTAACTACCGTGATAATGATAAACAATTGGAGACAGACTGAGAGATATCTGAGATGTTTAGATGTCTGGGGGTCAGATATATATACCTGGGACAAAACTCAAATACGAAGAAATGTTGCATACCATTTGAAGATCATCTATAAAAGTATTCAGATTATATCATAGAACTGGAGAATCGAACCGTGTCCCAAAGTCTGAGGTATAATCGGACGTAATTTTAGTGTTGTTTTAAAGCCCCACCCAGGCCGTTGCTGGAGGCCCTAATGTAACCCTAACTATGGGTTTAACCTTTTTCTGGGACTTGTCCCCGAAGTGATAATCATCTGAATGGTGTCACTTTATGTCACCGGGTGTTTATCGCTGGGTGTGTTATCCTCGTGGGGTTGAACGTCATAATCCTCATCAAATTCTGAGGTATTTGGCCATGATAAGTGAAGGGTGGCCTAGAGAGAACTGTGGGGAAGGGTAAGATTTCTAGAAAACGAAACAAGGGCAGACCTCCGCGAATGTGGTTACAAGACATTGAAGATGCATTGACTATGAAAGCACATAGGGGCACATATGCTCGCCTTGACGAGAACGACGTTGTGTAAAGGACCTGCACACTGAGGAAGAACAAAGCATATCCCATGTTTTCTCTAACCTGTTAGCCGGTCCGAATGTCTTGGGTTCAAATCCACGTCGAGGCGGATTTTTTCCATTCGATTTGACCTTGGATCCTAAGTGGAGGTTAACTTAAAAGTGGTACCGGAAAATTTTATAGGAAGTAAAGGTAACCAGTTGGCGCTGAACACATCACCCACCAAGTACTGATTGATCGACGAACATATGAGTCAAAGAGAAAATGTCGGATGCGTCACTGGGACAGTAAAAGGATCCTTACCCTTGCATTGTAATAATACTTTTAGCCTCTATGTAGCTCTCTTTGACCTATGTCGAACTTTCCTTGATCTCTGCGTAGACTACCTTGATCTGTGTGAACCCTTTCTTGACCTTTATTTACCTTTCCCTGACCTAGTGTAACGCTCCCTTACCCTGATTAGTTATTGTTGACCTTTATTTGCCTTGCCTGATATACATGTTATCTTCCTTAACCGTAGGTAACATTATTTTTTACTTTTATATACTTTTATATACCTTCCACTGACCTACATGTAACCCTCCATGACCTTGTTACCTTTCTTGACATGTATATACTTTTTTTCTGACCAAGTGTAACCTTCCTTGACCTTATGTAACCTTTCTCTACCATTTTATATTTTTCCCTGCCCTACGTTTAACCTTCCTTGACCTGTATGTAGACTTCCTTGAACTTCATTCACCTCAGCCGTCCAATCAGAGTTTCGGAAAAATGCAAATTTTTCCGATTTGTTAAAAAGATATGACAATAAGCTTGAGAATAGAACATTCACATAGAGTGACATACGTAGAACTTAAATTTTACAGCTTCAAATGCTTTTAATGCCTGAATGTGTAGATGGGAATGTCTTCTGTAGTGTATTTTTTTCCCTGGGCTTAAAGCACATTGTTTCGATTTTTTTTTTTAGCTACAATGATTCAGGTTTTAATTCCATATTTGAGCAATTAACCCTTCACCTGTTGACCTAGGGATGAAAGAAGTGGGGTTTAGTGACCTGTTTGGGATGTCCCGCTTTCAGCTAAATATATTAGTGAAGTGTCCCGTTTTTAGCTTACTATATTACTGGGATGGTTTGCTTGTTTTATTTCTTTTTTTTTTTTTTTCTTAAATTTAATTTTATGTCATCCCATTTTGGGTACTACCAGATTCCATAAGGACTTACTAGGGAGCTCCTAGGAGAGTCCGATATTATGAGGGGACCGGTGAGTGGGTGGGTGGGTGGGTGGTGGCTAGGGTGTACTGGTCGCCTTAAGCAGCCCAAAAAGAGTAATATTGACCTTTCATTCACAGGCTGTCAGGCTAGTCTGCCACAAGAGGGTTGTCATGTGATCATTTCGTCCAGAAAACCAAACAAACAGTACCTATGTACCGGCTGACCGCCCGCGTATAACTGCAGACCCCTAGCCAGCCCCTGGTGCCCCCACGCAGTTCCCTTACCACACAAACTCTGTCACACTTTTGCGTTGCGTGTTAATACTTCTAGAAAATTCAGGCCCAGCTCCGTCTACATACACACTGGGTCACTCTTGTTATTTAATACTTCACCAGGCTTGGTCAAAGCTGCTCTAGATTACGGGGTATACTTTTTTTGTTTTGTTTGAAAAGCTTTCTGCGTTGCCTTTACCGGCTTGTGATATCGTGTGTTGTATATACCAGGGTTTCAGTGCTTTTAGCTGTCTCAAAACACGCAAAACCGGCCCTAACACCAACTTCCCTACGAGGGTGCAGCCTACGTTAAACGTAAATAAAACACCACGCAGAAAGCTTTTTAAACAAAACAGTTCACCGAGACACCCCTGTGACCTTGAGCAAAGTTGACCAGCTTGACCAAGCACCAATGAAAAGTGAACGAACATCACAACCCTCTTGTGGTAGATTATCCTGACAACTTGTGAATGAAAGGTCAATACTACTCTGTTTTGACCGCTTATCGCGACCAGAACCGGTCAGGGTTAGGCTTAGTGTTAAATTAACACCGACTAACAGTAACCCTACACCCCTCCCCCACCCCATACTATGGGACTTTCTCGGAAACTCCCTAGAAAATTTCACAGGCCCGAAATGGGGTGAAATAAAAGAACAGTACCTTAAGATGTCCCGTTTTTAACCCAGATTTTACTGGGATGTCCTCTTTTTCGGCTCAAGATATAAAGGTCACTCTGTTCCTTGACCTTTGCGTATCCTTTCCAGATTTATTATTAACACAAACTGGCCTCAGTGTGGTCTTCCCTGACCTATTTGAAGTATGTTGCCACCTGTGAAGCCTTCTCCGAACATTATGTTATCATGACTGGCTTGCATACTAACTACACAGGAACTGCCGAGTTTGTGACGAGTATGTTAAAAATCACAGGATAAATGGAATGATGAATGGAGTGCTATATGACCTCTTTCCTGGTCGTCATCTCATTCATCATAATAAAATGTTTTAGCAACTAGCGAAGGCGTTTTTGGTTATATCTACGTCTTGTTATTTTCAACAGCATGTATCAGTTCGTATGCTGACACCTTTCTTTTTTTTGTTTTTTTTTCTGTTCATTGTAAAAGCTCCTTTTTTTGTGTTTATCTAGGTGTCTTTGTGCCAGCTATAAGCTCCGGCAAAAAGTCCTGTGTTTTTTGTTTCCATCTAGATGCTTTGGTCTTTGTGTCCAAGGTCATTAGTTTTGTAGTGTACATTCGTTTTTCCACTGGCTTGCATTTGTGTACAAAACCGGGGCGGGCGGTTAGTTGTTTCACCCAGCCTCTAGGAAATGGACAGATAGACCCCGACTTTGATGACGACGATGATAAACCGTGTGCAGTGACGATGGTTCACATCTACAGATAAGGATTATGATGATGAAATGATGATAATGACGACAGATGATAAAGAGATGAGGAAAAAAAACGGAGGAAGGAATGATGATCATCGAAAATTGACCCAGGAGGAGGAAAGGGACTTTATGAAAACGAACAGTGTGAAATAAAAGAAAAAAACTCAAACAAGAAATATCGTTACCGGGAAGCCTAATCAAGTAGACAAATGTCTGAAAAGGTGGAATTTGTCGAACTACAGAGGAAATATCGCAGCTGAGCTGTAACCGACACAATGTAATTACGTTTAAGAAAGCAGACGGATGACAACGCGCTATATTGCTAAGCTCTGAGTTTCATTTACCCAGATAAGGGCAACTCTAAAAGAATACCAGAGAGCCACCGTGGTTTCGCGGCTAGACGCTGGTCTGCGGATCGGAAGGTCGTGGGTTCGGGTCCCCAAAGGAGTCTGGCTTTTTCTTCTTCTAAAAAAAATCACCTTGGTTCTCATGTCGACTCAGTCCTAAGTGGGTACCAGGTACAGTCCTGGGAAGTAAAGACGACCGGCTTGGTGCTAACCACATCATTCACCCAGTGCTGACAGTTTTTAAATTATAGGTCTAGCCCTACATGTCCAATGAGCCTGAAGACGTGGAAGAAGGTCCTTTATTTTGACCTCTACTCGGAGAGTACAGGACAGCTACTGTCCATTTGACCAGCCAGGGATAGACCCAGTGGCCCATAAGTGCAAACATCAAAATATATCCAACTCTACTGTAGAAATCCTCAAGATCAAGTTCTGCCACCACTGTTTCCTGGTCTGTTGTGGAACTCTTCACAAATAGGGAGCCGCGTTAGCGCAGTCAATAAAAGACTCGCTTTCAAATCCAGTTGTGACTCGCTGCAGCCCCACGGCCGATGTTCGAAACCGGACGGTTCCCGGGGTTCGCCCAGCCTCTTGGTAATCGGTACCAGAGTTAACACTCTGGGGTAAATGGAGGAACGTGGCTGTAGCTACGGAGTTGCGTGCGAACGGCGACACAAGCGGACAGATTCTTATCAGCTGTCCTTACTGGTGACAGGGTACTTATGGTTTATAAACGTGTCCAATGCCGCTGGTTTACATCTCCTGGCTTTACCTTTTTTGAGTCTTCACAAACTTCACATTTAAAAATGATCATGGTGTCTTTGACAATGTAATCTCGTCTGGTGCGTTTTGGGCGCTATTGGGGTGGGGGTGGGGGGGGGGGGAATAGTTCCCCCCGCCCTCTAAAAAGCATGTTGTAAACGGGGACTTTGTAGGGGTTTGTTAGAATCGGATGAAAACCACAACATGACGTGCTAACTGCCTTTTCAAGGGCGAACACAAAACAAACAAACAGAGGAAAAAGTATCTTTTCTTGATCGGTAACTACAAACACAAAATAGGACTAAGAATCTGTTCCTTACCCGCATACGACTGTAGGTTATATCAGGCTGGTGCAGCCATAACAGATGCCCCAATTGTCACTTATTTGGAGGTTGAATGAGGTATCTTCCTTGTTGGTCTACCATCCAGACTGATATTTTTAAATCTCATTATGGTAAAGGTAAAGGTGACAGAGAAGTGAAAACTGTAATACACAAGGGAGATGAAAGGTCGTAGACTACGAGGCAAACCAAGAAAACCATGGAGAGATAATGTCCAGACAGACCTGCAAACACTTGGTGTCACCAACTGGAAAGAGAAGGCTAATCACAGAGATGAGTGGGTCATATCTGCAGCAATGAACCTAAAGTGCTCGGAATGCTGAAGACGAAGATGAAGATTATGGTATTGTAAACGTTTAGATAATGCCCCTATGCGACTAACCGACCGATCGATCGAACTAAAAAAATTTTCAGAAGGAAAAGGAAGCGGGCGCACACAGCTGAATGTTTTGTCATATGTCTTTACCAACTTTTATTTAGATTTCTTGCAGTATATGGTGTTTGAATTTGTTTTCATTCTGCCTAACACTGGTATTATGACTTCAAAATAGGATTGCATCTGCCTGAGAGGGGGCAGGGGACCAACAGTCTGCATATAAATAAGCAAGATCTGTAAAACGGATGCACACGTAAAACTCAGGTCCTGGATTAAAGCTGAAGTCCAGAAATGGAAGAACAACAAGGTCTTTCCGCCGCCGGAGTTTATAGCCGGTGAACGCAAACAGACAAACATATGATTGTTTTCATGGAGCTCACATGTTGATTTTTTCCTTAGCTGAGTTGAGAACGGACATCACAGAACTCGGGATATTCCCATAAGCGCTTTGTCCTTATCTTTAGCAGCCAGAACAGAATTCCAATTCCAGTAATGAAAGTAGTAGTATGAGGGTATACACGTCTTGTCATTTCCCTGAATGTTGAGTGTTAGCTCGATCGCCTGGGCACTCCCCCATGGCAGCATTCTCTTCAGAGCGTGATGGTTTAGATTTGCCCCTGAATTTTGCCTGGCACTCTGAGGGTAGCAGGTTCGTTTTACTGGTGCGCCCTTCAGTCACTATTGCAATCTTTACGGAGTTCCCTGGGGATCGTCACGGAAGCTAAGGAGTTCGTATTCGGCGCGATGTTGGGGCTAGCCATTCTGCGGGTAGATACCGAGCCATATGGGATCAAACCTGGCGTAATGAAGTCGATTCTCTCGACTTTAACTATTAACCTTAACTGTTTACTTGCTCCCAAAGGTCATTGACAACGTCTGGCTTGTCAGCATCAATCTTTCGTCAAGCTCTGAGCTTGATAAATTATCCTCTTGCATATAAAAGACCCCCCTCCTCCTTTGTTTCCCTTTTTTTACATGCCTTCAGGCTTTTTGGGGCACATTGGTCTAGACTTACGTATTATAGATCAATCCGCACTGTGATGTGGTCACTAGCACGCTGGCCGTCTTGCATATATTGTTGGCACCTTTCCGTCTTTTCCTGACGATAGTGTTATATTGTACTATGAGGAGGCATGGGACTCATAGCAAACAGCCCACATGATATGTCGATATCTGTACATAATGTTACATTTAAATACGCATATATTATGTGGAATATCGACAACAAATGATAATCATATTAATTATGCCATGTCACATTTCCTTACTTTGTGTGTGATCATTATTATAATTATGTGGCAAGTCATTTACAGAACGTCGCTCTCAACGTGTCTGCCTGAATGAAACGTAGTCTTTCGCCAGCTCTCAAGAAGTCACTTATATCCTGTGCCCATCTTCGTATTGGTCGGCGTCTGCCTCTCCTTCCTGGCACCATACCTTCTGCTATTACTTTCTCCAGTCCTCCGTTCTGCTTGGCCTGTCCAACACATTTCAGCTGAGTGATAACAATCTTTCGGACCGGTCACACTACATGTCACAAAACATGTCGCACAACATGTCACATACAGATATGCAAAGCTACCATCACAAACATATAAAACCAGAGGAGACATCATTCACCGTTTTTTTTTACCTGAGGTCTGCACAGGTATATGTCGGCGCCACAAACTTCCCAGGTGTGTAGTTTCCACACGTCACATTCTCTTTCAGGATTAGTGTATGTGCCGGGAATGATAGATCTGAAAGGATAGACGTGGTGAGGTCGGCATGTGGGTGACGATCAAGTAAAGATGAAAAGATATCAGCAGAACATAGGTACGTGCATTCTAAATGCATGGGATATCAACTTGAAAGTCGGTACTTTTGTTTAAAAAAACAAATCAAACTTCTTCTTCTTTTGTCGTCCTATGATTCCAGGTTGTAGAACAGGGCTGAAGTTTTTCTGTTTGTCTTGTGCTTCTCAGGTGGCTTGGGTGATGGATTTGCATATCGTTTTGCAGGGTTCAGCTACACCATTCATCCATTTGTTTCTTGGTCTTCCCCTTGCCTTCATCCCAGATGTTCTGCAGTAATAAGTCTTTTTTGCAACTTGGTCTGGCTGCATTCTCGCTAGATAGCTGAACCAATATATTCTTTGTCTGTCGAAAATAATCCACACATGGTCTTGTTCCAACGTTCTCTCTACTGCTGGTATTCGTAACCCTGTCCCTACTTGTGTTGTTAATGACTTTGCGGAGACAGCGCATTTCACTTATAGTTATTTTTTTGTTTTGTTCTAGTGCCCTATTCATTTTCCATGTTTGGCACTGATAGCATAGAGTAAGGATGAAGATTCTATTAATCATTTGCTGTTTTGCTGGATTGGAGACATGTGGGTGTCCAAGCAGTTTGGCTAAATCTAAACAAATAATGACAATGAAATCGCACACACAGTGGTTGTGGAAACTTGGGACCTCCCCCAACTTCAACTCTTCTAAATTTTTATTTAGCAGGACTGAAACCCCACCCACCCTCTATTTATTATGCAAACGTACTAAATGCCCCCAAATATGCTTTGGAGAACTCTTTTTAGTTTATTGTTTAAAACTTCAGACTATTTCAGATATATTTTATATTTGTTTCTGCAACATACTAATAAGTCTGTACACTAAGTATAAAATGTTGTTATTATTGCGCATTTAAGCAAGGCTTAAGTATCCCACTTTCGACAGGTCATTATTAGCTAGCGCACCTAACAAAGTAATTGATTTTTGCCAAAACACACACGTTACGAACGAGCGTAGTATATATATATATATATATTGTCTCCTCAGACCTTGATGATCTGTTTGTGCCACCACACTGTTCACTCTATGCCAAAAGACCACTACAACAATCCTTACCAGTGTTTAGGGCGGCATAAGACGGGGGAAAGGGGAAGAGATTTGAGCCTGAGAAATTAGGGTCGCATGGCTGTCCACACGAAACTGTGCAGGTTACAATGTTTATTTTTAGCCCACCGACCGCAAAATGTCCATCATTTTACCAGCAGTCAAACTCGGGGTTTCCGCATGACAGCCCGACTTTCGACCTACTCCACCCTAAAAATTGTAAATGCGGGAAGATAAAAACAACACACCTGTAAGCTCTGTCTGCACACTTCAGGTCGTGGCCCTCATTAACATATTCACGGGTCACCTTTGCCCTGAAATACGACTCGCATATGATGTCATCTTTATCTCCCCCTGCAGCAAAAGATGAATGACATCCATCAATCTTCCGTAAGACTATAATCCCTGCGTGCCGCCTCAAAGGTGAAGCATCTACATTCGGCTGTCTGGTGAGGTGTTGTATTTTATGGTAAACTTCAATAATGGTATTTATAACAAAACTAATATTGTTGAAATTTATAACAGAGAACGATCAAAATGCACAGAAGACCAATACTTTAGTTCGAAAAAAAAAAAAAAAATATATATAAATAGCTGGCCAGGTATTAACATTTTCTGTCCTCACCGATCTACAGTGCGCTATAACCTACAGTCAGTGGGTTATTAAATATCTTACATTGAGTTTATGTCTGTTAAAGAAATAAGGCTAGATATACAACCATATACCCCAGTTTATGTTCTCTTTGAAAGTTTACTGTTAAAGGAAAAAAAACCGCCTAGATTTCCAATGATACTTTCCTTAAAAAAAAGAAGAAAAAAACACATCCTTAATTTTATTTATTACTTGATGCGAAAGCGCGTACGTGTAAAAACTATCAACGACAAAGAAGCAAGAAACGTTTAACACATTGGGGAAACCCTAAGTTATTATTGCGTCCGGTTTGAATGATGTCACTCATTAATTGAAAAAGAATGCATAAGTGAATGTCAAAATTATGCAAAAATTATGTTCATTTCAGTAACAATGCGTTTCTTTTTCTTTTTTTTTTTTTCATTTTGGGAGTAGCGGGAATGGAGGTGGAGGCAGTAAAAGCTGCTTTTCGGAAAAAAAGTATTAAAGTTAGTTGCGTATCCGTTACCGGACATTACAGAACCAACCCTAGCACTTTTTGACTGTTTTTTTAAATATTTCTTTAAAGGCAAATGTACGTCCAGTTGTTTGCCATTGCTTCTGGATCGGTGCCGTCTGCATCGAGTTGCTCGCAATCTTAATAAACTCATCAGGAGTATATCATGGCCGATAGATTTGGTTCTGTACCTCCTCTGCGCGGTAAGCTACTTTAAGAGAAACCGGGAGTGGTAAAAGGTCGATCTGTGAGAGTGAAATGGACCAGAGTATCCATACCTCGAAAGAAATCCACCAGAGTGGACCCAAAAAAAAGTGTTAAGACGGTTTTCCAACGTGTAGTGGAAAAGACATGCGGACTGTTAATGAGGCTGCAACTGACATCTGGAACAAAGGAGGTCTTCGTTGTCTACTGAGGAAAGTGACTTAATACGTGATATAAGACCCGAGTGCTAATACATTCTTGTTACATTTATTTATGTATTTTTTTTTTCATTTATTCATTCAAGCATTCTTTTATCGTGGATTCGCTCGTTCATTCCTTCATTCATTTATTCATGCATATTCTCATTCCTTTATTCGTTCATTCATGCATTTATTATATCATGCAGTCATTCATAACTGTATACAAGCTCCCAAACAGGAGACATTCTGGCGGAAACCGTGTTGGAGCAGCGGAAGATACACTTGAATAAATTACGCAACCAATCCTGTAGAGAGGTCAGATAGATGTTTGGATAGAACAACAGACATAGACCAAGAGAAGGATGGAAGAACAAACTGACGGATGGACAGACAGACTGACTAAAAGTTTAATAATTTACCTAAGTGAGCTGTTGGTGGGAAAGTTATATTTGAAAGGTATATCTGCCGTTATGTTGAATGAGTGCAAAGTACAGTCTTGGGCTCTACTTCAAAATTCCTTCAGCAGGGAGATAACACTTGATACGACGACGATGTTTATGATTCTTTGCCGATGATGATGATGGTAATGAGTCTGCGGTCGCTATTAAAACATGGCTGGTACCTTATGCTGTGGTTTATCACTAGGCTGTGATATCTGCACCTTTCGGACCAACACATTCGATTTTAGCAAACCTCTAATTATTTTATTTTCATGCCTAATAGTCGGCAGTAAGTCGATTCCTTTTTCTAACAACATGGGACTTCAAAATACACACGAGGAGATGATGATAATGATAATGATAACGAAGATGATGATCATGATCATGATGTTCATATTGAAGAATAGCCTTGCCGTGTCAATTAGGTCCTGATGAATAACTTGTTCAGTGGACTACATGTGGTGTTTCCCTGCTAAAGTGACCGAACCTTTAGCCTGGCGCTGAGAAGTTCGTTTCAGCGACGCACCCTTCGGTGTATCTGTGCATTGCTTACTCGAATCCATAGGAATCATCGCTTCGACTTCAACCGTTACTAACTTTGGCTGGCGAAATAACAAATATCTGAAGCGATCAATGAACGGGTTGTGATGTTTAACAGTGTCACCAGTCCGATGCCGATTCACAATCATATAGCACGTCCCCTGCAGAACGTCGTTCTCATCAACGTCTGCCTGAAAGAAGCTCCATCTCCTGCCAGCTCTCCCGCCTCGTACACTTTGCTACCCATTGTGTTACTTCTATCTTGTGCCTATCTTTGTGCCTGTCGGCGTCTGTCCCCCTTTCCTGTACAATGCCTTGTGCTAGTATGCTGGGTTTTTTTTTCAGCGACCCGTCGTGACGCTTGATATGGTCAAAATACATCAGCTTCGGAGACAAGATGCTGTTTCCTGGCCAATCTTCCTTGATTTTCAAATCTTTTAGCATGTTAGTAATCTTTTCTTCTGTGCCCAAGATATTCTAATAATCTTTCTATAGCATTTCTAATGTAAAGCCCTAGTTTTCTTTAGCAAGGACTGCGAGGTAGTCCACTACTCACATCTGTATGTTTCTACAGGGATGATGCAGAATACTCTCGGGGCCGGTTGGTCAATAAAACTATAATACACCTAGCACTTATATGCGTGGTTCGCCAATGACTTAAAACGAATCCTTTAAACAGAAAAAAAAGGTTAGACTTTGAAGATGAGAGGATTGACTTAATGTCATGTGGCTCGGTCTCTCTACGCAGGACAGCTAATCGCCTTCCTGGAGCGTCACACAAAGCACGAACTGCGTAGCTCCAGCAAAGATCCTCAGGAATGTCCATAAAAATTGTATTCATGATCCGAAGGGGGGGGGGGGGGGGGGGTTCGAATCAAGTATCGGTTAGTTGTTAACATACAGGACATTTGGCGCCTCAAAGCCCAGTGAATAGCAGCCTACCTGCCGGGCCAAAGGTCGCGCTGGCTGAGGAAGTAGCATCAGTCGCAAGTCGCATTGCCTAGGGAAGTAAAGGCGGCCGGCGTGATGTTGACAACACCCGCCGAATACCGATTGGTCTTATCAACAATGGTCTAGCCCTATATGTCCAAGACGTCTAAAGGCGTAGAAATATCTCTTTTACATAACATTTTTTTTATCAGGCGCGTTGGTACCAGGTAATATTCTAGGAGGAAGTAAAGCTGGTCAGCGTGGTGGTTTTAAGTCACCTGCGTAAAAAAAAAAGACCCCTCAATGACTTTACCTGCTTACGGTGAACTGTCAAGGAATTAACCGCCACTACACATAGTAAACGAGTCGGGACCTGATACATCCCGCGCTCAGAAAAATTTCAAACGTAGACCCGTCCGGAAAGGTAT